GCCCGCCCCCCGCCCCCCGCTCACCGGCTCCGCGCCTCCGCCCGGGGAACCCGGAAGTACCGGCCTTGCCGGGAGCGCGCAGGCCCCGCCCCCTCGTGACGTCAGCGCGCAGGGGGCGGGTCCAAGGGGCCGGGCCACACGCTCACGGGTACGGGCGGGCACGTGCGCTGGGCGGGCACACGGCTGGGCACACACGGACACACGTGTTCACACATGTACACACGTGTTCACACATGTACACACGAAAACATGTACACACGGACACACGTGTTCACACATGTACACACGTGTACACACGGACACACGTGTTCACACATGTACACACGAAAACATGTACACACGGACACACGTGTTCACACGTACACACGTGTTCACGCATGTACACACGTGTATACACGGACACACGCGTACATACATGTACACACATGCACACAAGAAAACATGTACACACGGACACACACGGACACGTGTACACACGTACACACGAAAACATGTACACACGGACACACACACGGACACATGTGTACACACATGTACACACGGACACACGTGTACACACGGACACATGGACACACACATGTACACACGGACACACACGGACACACGTGGACACACATGTACACATGGGCACATATATAGACATGTACACATGGACACACATGTACACACGTACACACTGACACGGACACGTGTTCACACATGTACACACGTGCTCACACATGTACACACGGACACATATACACACGGACACCCTCACAGGTGGGTACTCCTGAGGTGGGGGGGGGGGGCAGGACCCCCACCGCCGGGTCACGGCCCCCCGCTGCCACAACACGTGTGTGCACAGCCTGGACACGCCTCCACGCTCCCATCCCTCGCAGGACGCTCTGGGTGAAAAAACACCGAGTTTGGGTTTTCCAGCAGTTCCTTCCCTGCCGGTGAACAAACACCAGCTTTACAGAACCCGGGGGGCGCAGGGCACTCCAGCGGCACCCGCCTGTCAGGGTGGGTGCTTGCACACGTGTGCATGCGTGTGCCTGCCTGCCAGTACATGTGTGTAACACCTGTGTGTGCACATGGAGGGGTGTGCCTGCCTGTGGGTGTGCACGTCTGCCACGTGTGTGTGCACACGTGTGTGTGCACCTGTGTATATGTGTGTGCATATGTGTATACATGTGTGCATACGTGTGTGCATACGTGTGACCAGATGTGTGTGCCTGTGTACATACATACGTGTGCCCAGATGTGTGCCCGTATGTGTGTATACATGTGCATACATATGTGTGCCCAGATGTGTGCCCGTACGTGTGCCCCACGCCCTGGGCAGCCCCCCGCTCGCTCCCGAAGGGCAGAGCCGCCCCCGTCCCCCGTAGCCCCCCTGTTCCCACCCCCCTGGGATGAGGTTTGGGGTGCCCCGAGCATGCGGCAGCCCGGAGCATCCTCCCTCGCCGGGGGGGACCGTGGGTCTCGGGGTGCTCCAGGGCTCGGGGGCACTGCAGCTCCCCACTGCCGCAGGTTCTCTGGGGCGCTGCGGGCACCTGGGGGGGTGACGGCGAGGAAAGAATATCCAAGGAAAGAGCCAAGGGAATAACAACAAGGAAATAACAACCCAGGAAACAGCCAAGGAAATAAAACTCAAGGAAATAATAACCAAGAAAATAACCAAGGAAATAACAGCCAAGGAAACAGCCAAGGAAACATCCAAGGAAATAAAATGCAAGGAAATAATATCCGAGGAAATAACAATTAAGGAAATAACAGCCAAGGAAAGCCTCAGCAGCTGCTACATCAGAACAAGAGCTGAGAACGGAGCGTGGGCACCGTCACCATCCTGCTGACTTTAGCTCGGCCGTGCTGAAAATCTCCCCGTCCGAGACCTGCCCGTCGTACAGCTCAGCGATGGGTTTCTCTCGCTGGGCGTCGAGGCGCTGGAATTGGTCTCTAAGCCACCGCGGCTTGGGTCTGTTCGGATCCGAGCTGGCGAGCCCTGGAAAGTGCTGGGGGAGGTTTGGAGAGGGTGAGGAGCAGCCGGAGGAGCAAGGGGCAGAGGGGAGGCATGGCGTGTCCTCCCTGCCCTTACCTGCTCTCTAACGTTGTGACTGTTCTTGCTCCATCCCCGCCGCAGGAGTTTTTGAAAGAACCTGACAAAAAAAGGAAAAGGACGAGAAGTGGCGGTGATTGGCAGGGAGGTGGCCTGCGCCCTGCCCTGCTGGGGAAGCGGCTACTGTAGGATTTGGGCAAACGGCATTTACAGCACTGCAAAACGTCTGGATTTGGGGGTTAAGGGGGAGAAAAAAGGCTTTTGTGTTTTATCACCCCAGAATTCACCTTTCCCGTCCAGAAGCAGGGAGGTTTGGCCAGGGAGGGCTGAGGCAGGTGCCAGGGCCTCCACCTGTCCGGGGTGACATTTCAGCTGAGCCCAGGGAAGATGAGGCGCCCCAGAAGGACGGGACGTGCTGGCTGATGTAGCTGGGAAGGAGTCCTGGTTGAGCCTGGATGTGAAAGGCGTCTGGAGAGGCCAGGGGTGAGCTCTGCAGCAGCCTCTCTGGGCAGCGGGGCAGGGAAAACGGGCAGAGCTGCCACTAGAGAAGAGTTTTGGGGCCAACCAGAGCGGGGAGGGATGTGGGACCAGGCGGGAGCCCAGGGCCAACACATCCACCACATCCAGGGTGGAAAAGGGCTGCCTGGGTGGCTGGTTGAGCTGTGAGCTTACAGCCGTGCTTTGGGGTCCCTTTTCTGGGTCTCTTAAAAAAGCAACGTGTTTTAAATACAGACTGGTGAGCCTTCGGCAGCTGGCGCCCGCGTGGCTGGGGGGGGTCAGGGGTGAGGTGCTGTTCAAAGACTGTTCAGGGTGCAGCAGTGGCGCGGCGCAGGGAGTAGTTACCATCTCGGGTGTGATTTACTGCTGCGTTGGGGTTGGGAAGTAGCTGCAGGTTTTTGGTAGCAAACCTGTGGAAAGGAGAGAAAGAGAGACTCATGACATCAGGATTTTCTTGTCGTACTCTGCAACACAAGGGAGGCCAAAAGGTTCTTCCTCCAATCTAATCCTTTATATACATGTGCAAGCCTGTGCCAGCAGCCACACTTTCAGAACGAGCCCATCCTCCCTTCCCAACTCCCCTCTCTTCCCTGCCTCCGGAATGACCTGGACTCCCAGAGCTCTCCTAATCTCAGCAATGTTTATGTCTGCCTTTCTTATCTGTGCAGTGCTTTGCAGGGTACTCCCCTCCTGTTTAACCCCAGCCTAAAACATGTAGGTAGGCTTTTAAAGAAAGAAAAGCTTTTTTTTTTTTTTCTGAGGAGAAGGACCCCAAAGGGAGGCTGAAACTCTGTGGGCACGCTGGGTCCTCTCCCCTGCCTGTCTCTGGCACTGTCCTGACCCATGCAGAGCTGTGGCACCTGGCAGAAGGACTTGATTTTGGCAAGAGGGAAGGTAGCAGGGGAATTGCTGCATGGCTGAAAGCAATCGATGTGGGCAGGAGAGCAGAACAGGGTCAGGAGAAGAGCCTGGAGGTGACTCTGTAGAACTAGGGATTGTGTGATAAAACTCAGGGAAGGGCTGTGTTGGGAGGGAGACACGGCCCCGCTGATGGGAGCTGTTAGGAAAGCTGCGAAGCAGAGCTGCGGACAGGTTGTGACAGATGCCAGGACAATCCTCCCCTGAGCAGGGCGGTACAGAAGGGGTTGTGGGGAGTTGGAATGGGCTGTCCAGGGCAGGGGGGGAGTCCCCATCCCTGGAGGGGTTGGAGAGTCGGGCTGACCCAGTGCTGAGGGATCTGGTGGAGTTGGGAACGGTCAGGGTGAGGGTCATGGTGGGGCTGGAGGAGCTTCAAGGGCTTTTCCAACCCAGAGGATTCTGGGATTCTGTGATTGCCATGACAAGCTCCAAGGTTGGAAAAACATCTCCTGTGCTACCCAAGAGTGTTCACAACAGTACTTTGGGGCTCATAAACTGTGTGTGGAGATATCACCCTGCCTCAGTGCACTCCAGCTACAAGGCTTGACTGACAGCTGTCTGTCAAACAAGTTACCAGCTTACCTCGATGAGACAAATTACCAGGAAATTAATCATGATGATGACAGGCAGTGATATTGCTAACAGGAGCCTGTCACCGGAGATGTACTCTGGTTTCCACTGGGAGAAAAGGAGAGGAAATCAGGAGGGGAGAGGGGCTTGCTCCCACTCCCCATGTCCAGGACACACCCAGCAATTCCCAGTATCACTCCTACCTTCCCTGTGGTTTTCCTGCCTGCCTTCCCGGCCTGGGCCACGCCACCAGAAACATTCCCTTCCAGGAGACACTGGCCTACGAGAGCAGAGGGTCCCTGGTCAGGTTGCCTCTCGCTGAGCAGCTTTATGAGCAGCACCACCTTTGAGAACATCTTTGCACAGGCCAGCTGGAGCTTGGGCAGGTGACAGTCCCTCCTCAGGGCTTGTGCCACGTGGGCAAGGAACAGCCTCAGGGCTTCATCTGGGACCAGCAAGTGTAGGTGACGATGGACCTTGGTTTCAAAGAGTTCTCCTTGAACCCGCATACTGTCCGGGCTGTCAGAGCTACCTGATTTATTGAGAAAACTGGATCCTTCCTTTTGTTGCTTCCAGTGTGTTTCTGTGGTTAGAGGGACAGCCAGTAAATGCCTGCCTAGAGAGGAACCCTCTTCTTTAGCTGTGCCTTCTAGCAGGCTGCTTGCAGCAGGGGGGCTGTTGGTAACAAACACCTTATAGAAAAAATGCTGGTTTGTGTTTAGTCTCTGCTCTGCTTTACTTTCTGTTGGTGTGGGCTCTTCCTCTGGATTCATGTTGCCAAACATCTCGTAGAAAAGCTGGTTACCTTTATTCAGATATGGGCTGTCCCCCTGCTTGTGCTTTCTGTAAGTCCAAACATAGTCCTGCCTTGGGGATGGTGCTTCCTCTGCATCTTCTACATCCTCCACATCCTCCACCCCATGAGTTTGCTTGGTCTGTTCCACAGCACTGAAATAATTTGGAATCTTAAAAGACCCAGACAAATGAGGGTCCTCTGCTGGGGAGTGCGAAAGGGAATGTTTTGAAGGAGGTGTGGGTATTCTGTTGTGTCTGAAGACAGAGATGTCAGTGGGGTTTATCCTGTCAGCTGTTTCCCAGGAGTTTATTGCTGCCTGGTTCAAACCTAAGTCATTCTGCTCTTGCACCCAGCCCGTGGTTGTCTCTCCCTCCACTGCTGGGATCTTCTCCACCTTGTGCTTCTGCATGGCAGGCGTTGGCAGGGGTGAGACGGTGTTTTTCACAATCATGACACTTTCAGCCTTGTGCAGCTTATTCTCGAGCTCGGCTGCTAGCATCATTGCTAGAAAATGGAGTTTCCTCATATCAGTTTCACTGGTCCAGCCCATGTGATGAATGCTGTGCAGCATCAGCATCAGCTTCTTACTGGTTTTGCCTTCCTGCTCGGGTAGGTGCTGAGAGGAATATGAATTTGTTCTGGAAATGTGATTATTTGGGCTACTGAGATCACCATTGGTGCCGGTCGTGCTCAGGACAACCGCAAGTGTTACGGTTTCATTCTTCTTCAGCGAAGACTCCTTGGGCTTGAGGTTCGATACTGTGCTGGTGTTCCGTTTTCTGGTTTGTACCACTTCCATTATTTCTCCTTCTGTGTTTGCCAGAGGATCTATGAGAGCTGTAAAACACCAAGACAGCAGATCAGTGACTTGACGTCACAAGAAGCTTTCTGCCAAAATACAGAGTCAAAGGTTTGCCCCGAGCAGCAGGCACTTGTCTTTAAGACAAGGGAGTGTGTGAACTGAATGGTGGATGTGTTACAGATGGGAAAAGTCTTGTTAAATCAATCAGATTTTCTCATCAGGGCAGAAGAGATTGATGTTCCTCTTCTGGTGTCTCCCAGGTCTCTGTTTGGATTTGTGGGAAACATCCCAGGGGAATGGGTTTGCTGTCAGAGTCTGCTGTCGATACGAGCCAGTGCTGAGTTGCTAAAATTGCCATAAAGCAAAAGTTTAAACTCAGAGTGAGCCTGGAAAGCAGAATACCAAAGACAGAGTGTCTGCCCCTGATCAGTTACCCCAGCTAGCCATTCTCCCCGTGGTCAGGAAAACCTGGGATATTTCACATTAAAATGCCTCTGGGTTGTTGTCTGCAATGATCTGCAGTCAGAGTGAGCCCCGATAGCAGGGAGCTGTTGCTCTGCTGATGGATGCAGCTCACATCACCCAGGCCTAGAGGAGGTGTAAGATTTGACCCAGAACAATGCAGACAGCCCCAGAGAGCTCCCGCCCCGGCATGCAAAGGGCACATGCTGAGTCGGCAGAGCCAGGATAAGTCTTCGGGAGCCCTACACCAAGGCTGCAAACACAACCTTATCTCTAATCCTGCTCTGCAGATAGCTTAATGCCAGAGCAGGGTGACATGGTCAAGAATATTTACGGATTACAAAAATATTTAGGCTTTTTCTTCCTGTTAAAATGATAAATTGGACACTGAAATACCTTTGAGTATCCAGCACTAAATGGCTTAGCAGCCTGTTTTCCCTAGACTTGTGACTAGATTAGGCTCACTTGTCCACATCTAATTTAAAAATGAGTTACCGGGGGACCTTGGAAACCTTACTGTATCTATCTGCAGGAGTTCAGTTTGTTTCTGCTTTGAACAGGATGATATTTGCCCTGTGCAAAGATTGAGTAGAACAGGGCATTGCTCACGCTGCACAGGCTAACGAGAGAATAATGATGCTTGGTTTTTACCTAATGCCCTGCAAAGGAGACTGGGGTTACTGCCCTCTCTCCTGCACATGGGGGAGAGGGTGGCAGAGAGACCAGGCAATTTTCTGAGTCAGCCAGGTGATTTTTGGAGCCTGTATATCCCACACCCACTCCAACACAGTGTGGATGATGGGAGGTTTCTGCAGAGCTGGCCTAGGGGCATCCATGCTCAGTTATGGGTCTTGGGTTTCCAGTGTGGGTGGCAGGTGTAAGGTGCAGCTCAGCACATGCCACCTTGCCAGAGCAGCACAAACATTACCGGGCCCTTTGGCCGTGTCTGTGCTGTGTCTGGGACTCCTCCCGCCACTGAGCTGTGACTAGACAAGGTATGGTGGCACTGAAAAGGCTTAGGAGGTTGTCAGGGGAAATTTGGGGGGCTTATGAGCAGACGGTGCCTTCCAGCGCTTGGGAAGGGTGCTGGGCACACATGATTTCCTTGGCTACATGCGCTGTGTGGATTGGAAGCTCATGTGTTTGTTTAGCCCAGCAAGCTATTTCTTCTCAAGATAGTATTTGACACAGAAGATATGTGTAATCGCTAGTAACTTTTCAACCCTTGTTTTTTCCAAGTCATGTGCTCAAAGAGGAACTTTTTGTGCCCGTGGCTCAGGGAGCACAGTTCGAGGCCTCCCAGGTCTCACCCAAGCTGCCTACACTGGCCTTTGGGCTGATTCAGAGGCTTGCAGAGATGAAGCTCCTCTAGAGAGTCTGCCCAGATTTAGTGTCCCTGGGACTGGCCAGGAGCCACCAGGCTGGACTGATGCCATTGGGGTGGCCAACACTGCCTGAGAACCCACACAAAATGGGGCCATGCTACAGCATCTCCTAAAGCTAGAGGAAACGGGGCAGATTTGACGCCTACATTGACGTCAGCAAGCCTACTGCACTGGGGAGCACTGGTGGTGCACAGGTTCATGCACTGGAACTTGATGGTCCTGCATGAGGTTTCGGTGGTGTGCTTCTGGCAGAGGCAGCAGGCCATGTCACAGGGCAGTTTGCTAAAGGTAAGAGGTTACTGGAGAAAAACCCAGCATCTCAATCCATGTTTCCGAGTCCAACCCAGGTAACACATGGATAACGCGTCATGGTTTTGTTTCAATTTCTTCTACAGCTCTGGAAAACTTCCCTCACCGCCAATCCCAATGGACAAATATTTTCTAATTTCTAGGAGATGTTTCGAGTAGAAGATAGGCTGCTCCATTGGCATCAAAATGTTGATTTACCTCTGAAAATGGAACTAAGTTCTGAAATACAATTTGAAACAAAAACACACCCCAGCTTGATTTAAAACTTCCCTTTGAAAAACCTGGAACATGTCATCTAAAAGGTGAAATTCTGTTTCTTAGCAGGTGAGTTTGGGAGGTTCTCAAAGTAAATAGCAAACCTTAAGCTTACTGGGGTTATTCTGATTTAGAGGTAGGCAGATTTGTTTCCCAAGTTTTTTCAGCAATTACTATCCGCTGGTGCCTGGTACCCACTCCCTGCATACTCACAGTGTTTCCAAGTGGACTGTTGTCAGGAGGAGCATGAGCAACGTCTGCTGAGTCACTCGTGTTGCACCCAGGTCTCTAAAAGGGTTTGAAAAAACACATTAAATTTTCAGGTGGCATTACCAGAACTCTGCTCTGAGAACAAGCCCTGGTCCCTGATGATTGTGATGGTGTTTACAGAGGGAACCACTTCTGCTTAATCAAACAGAAATGATTCAAAACACTATTGGCTTTCTGCTTTAACCTGCTCCTAACCATGGGGTCTGAATCAGGAGGGGATCCTGCAGATCTCGTGGGAGACAGATGGAAAGAGAAAGGATCCCCCAGCTCAAATCCCTCCTCCTGCTCTCCCATGAGTGCAGCTTCAGTCCTTGAAGTGAGACACTTCTCCCCCAAGAGGATGATTCCAGTGTGACCTTGGAAGGAGAGTTTGTATCAGTGAAGAGAGAAAATGCACTGAGCAGCAAGCCAAGGGTATCTGCAGCTCAGCAGGGCCGTGAGCAGGATCTCTGTAAAAAGCCTGGACGTCTTCCTCCCTGAGGAGTCACAGATGGAGCAGGAGATGTAGGATGCGCTGAATCGTGATCAGCACCGAGCATCACCTGCCCTGAGCTGTGCCAAGGCAGCGGGGGAGGCCCTGGACTGCTGGCACGAGTGTCCCAGGGACTGGGAGCTGCTGGATCCCACCTTCTCAGTGCTCAAGCAGGGGTGGGGGCATTCCCAGACCCTTCAGGCCACTCCACAGCCCGAGACCTGGACAGCCTCTAGTTTTTGGAGTTTGTGTATCAGCTTCTTCAGTGTTTTGCAGCTGAGTACACAGCAGAACTGCATGGCCCTTGCTTTGTTCTGCTGGTGCTGGGGTTATTTGTGCCTCTAGAAGAATAAGGCTGGGAGAAGAGCGAGATTTGTTACGGGATCTCTGCTTTCCTGAAAACAGGGCACTTGAGAGAGACAAAGATCTGAATTAATCTGGTAAAAATGAGTCAATACTTACAGATATTTGACTGAAGGCAGCTTGAAGAATAACAGACAGTGGGTTATGGCTTAGGATCCTGAAAAAAACAACATACTGCTCTGAGTTGGTGATGGGAAGGACACGGGCTGTGTGGGTAGGGGCACACGGGGATGGCCTGTCCACACGTCCTCTTACATACATGGACCCACAAGTCTGGAGAGCCCATATCAACCAGCTCTGTGCAGCAGGCACTGTAGAAACAGGAGATGGTTAAAACACTGTAGAGTAAAAAACCCCGGTGGTTCCTGGACTGTATAAACAGAGCTAAATCAAAGTAAATTTCCCCTAGATCATTGTGAAGTATTTCTGTGATCAAGGAGTTTTTCCTCTTTGCCAGGCTTCATTTCTACTCTGAATATCAGAGAGGCCCAAAGAGATTTGTGCCTGTTGGATCTGATGTGGAATTACACCGAAACCCCCTTTCCAGGCTTCTCTCTACTGTCTAAGTGGTGTAAAGAGGTTTATGGTAGGTAAGGATCCAGCCAAGTTTTATGGATGGCAGATGTGGATTTGGCTGAACAATTTTTACTCAAACCTCTGCAAAGAATTTCCTTTCAAGTGGAGAACAAACATAGGAAATTTCAGCCTGAAGATAAAAATTTGGCTCAGTGCTAGGCATGTGAGGAAGGGCCTGGGATGAAGGCTAGAGGCACGAACAGATGCTGATGGGCTGATTCACAAAATACATCAGGTCCTGATTATCTCCAGCTAAAAGAGCAAGAGCTGGAGAAGGGCTTCTTCTGGAAAGCACAACATCCCTTTCTTTCCTCCTCCTCACACCTCCTCTTTGCTTCCCTCCACCAAGGCTTTGATGTTATTGGAGTCTTACTTTCCATATTTTCTTACATTTCCACTGTCCATAAACTTTTACTCTGTTACTGCATCCCGTCAGGAAAAGCTGTGGCCTAGTCCTATAGGAATTGTCGTTCATAATTTATTCTGCCACCTTATTTGGTGCATCACGTGTGAAGTATTGCACTTTTCAGGAGAGCGGGGAGGCTGCAGCCTTTCCTTATGTAGATGAACCCTCAGTAGGCAAAAGGCCCTGCCTGGCTTCCCACTTAGTTCAGGCCCAGATGGAAACGATGATCCTATCCCTGAGGGCTCCTTGATAGAACCGATTATGGATTAAGTCATGTTTTCTCAAGACGCCAAAAGAACAAAGTTTCCTTTTTGTGGATGTTTTTGAGACCTTTTACTTTTAAATGCAATACATGCAAAGTGACATTTCTGGCTAGAGATGTGGGTCACATCCCATATCCCTCATCACCCTGCCTCTTCTCCCTTCTCCTTTCTTATCTATCCCCCTGGGCCCCCACTGCCGCTGTTTTAACCCGGTGTTGGTTCAAGGAAGCCATGGAGAAGGTGGGCAGGCCAGGAGAAAGCGACTTTCAGGCTGCAGACTCTTGGTGGACCCTGGACGACATCCGTAGTAGGATCCAGTGCTTCAGAGAGAGCAAACCTGCTCTTCCCTGCTGTCACAGCAGGGTCCCGCTCTGATTGACCTTCAGACCTTGTTACACTTAGAGCTTCTGTAAAAACTGCATCCCATGCCATGTCTGGAAAGTGCCGTTCTGGATCTGCGTGACGAGATTTCCACCAAGGTTTCTGGGGAAAAAGAAAATCACAGAAATGAATCAGGTCTGTCCTACAGGAAGCTGGAGAGAAGTGGTATTGATTTGTAGGAAATATGCAAATCCAAGGTAGAATAGGGAGGAAACTACCATTTTCTCTTTATTTTTTTTTCAACCTGTCAAGGAGAGGAAATGAAGTGCACATGTGCTTAATCTATTTCTGTTCCAGGATACAACAAACGTTCAAGAAATGGCTTCTATTATGGCTGCGTTTGGAGAACCACGCTCTGATCTCTCATCCTGTTGTGGGTCATCCAGCCATCCGCATTGATCTCTTTAGGTAAGTTAGTCTTTTAGCAGGAGAAATTTAGTCATTGTTCTAAAAATAACAGGAACATTTTCTAGCACAAAAAGGTTTATGAATGCAAACAGACCAGAAAATACACTAGAAAGAAGCTTTCACAACTCACATAAGCTGCAAAAAGGGAAGTGGCTCAAAAGCATGTTCTTGAATCTACAGGATTTTATTGTAAGATAAATCCCTGTTAAAATTAGAATACAAAATGTTAATTACGTTTGCACTGTCATGTTTACTTTCATTTGCTTTGACACTGGCAGCATATATGTTACACGGCTCTGATTTCACACCGTGTTTATATCTGATATTAGCTTGCAGGGGTGCGTAACCTGTGATAACCCTCCTGACCGGAGGTGGCTTTCATCTCAGTGATGTTTTTCTAGCTCTGATTCCACCAGAATTATTCTAGGGCTTGATTTTCCTTTCTGATAACAGAAAATATTCTTTATGTAGGCAAAGTTTAGCAGCTGAGGATGCATTTGCATGGACAACAGTGATAACGTGACCCTCCGGATGTGCCACAGAGATGCAACCTGCCTTCCCCTGGTGCCATCGATGCTTTGCTTGCTGAGGTCAGCCAGAAAAGCCTGAACAGCACCTCTTGTCTGAGGGCTGAGGGACAGGCTGGTAACCACATGTGTGACCAAAATGGTTGTTTTTCTCTTAATCACATTTTTTTACCACATTTGGTGAAAAAGTTATGTTAAACAGACCCTATTAAAGATGCAAAATCAAGAACGTGGAAGTCTGGAAAGGGTACAACGAAGGGGTGACCTAAACTCCACTTTCCTGCCCAGCTCTGCTGTGAGACATGTGTCAACACTCAGCTGCTGTGGGATTCACCTGGCCTAGCTTTAGAAATCAAAAGGCTCCTTGTCTCAGCCTGAATTAGTTGCCTGGGCTTGTTCTGCAGCAAGAGAGAAATATTTTTGGGGAGTGATTCATCCCCTCCTCTGACAGGTTCCCAAGATCATTTGGGTGAATGGGAAGTGCCTGTTCCTCTCCAGGGAAAACAAAGAGAGCCTGAACAATTATCTTAATCCTAGGCAATTATTAGGCATCTAAAATGCATAAGGTTTCTTCTGCAGGAGATGGCCTTGCTACTGGAGAGGGTATTCAGAGACAGCATTGGGGAGCAAATGCAGTGGGGTCTGGACCTCCCAGGGAGGCAGCCGGGTGGTGGGAGTAAGGTCTTTGCATGTGCAGTCTTAGAAGTACTTAGGAGAGTTCAGTTTTCAGCCCTGTGGAAGGGGAGTGTGCCTGGAAGCCTGTTTCTTCCCAATCTGATTCATTTAGCCTGCAACCCACATCCTGCAGAACATGCTTTCTGCTTTTAAGTTCCTGGATCTTTCTTTTCTATGATGTAGGGCACACGTGCCTGCTAAAAAGACAGAGGGAGGGGGAGCTAGTGTGGGCAGTGGGCCCCAGTACTGGCACTACCTTGTTTTCCACCATTCCCCAGCACTGAGACAAGGCCTAGATGCAGCCTTAGGGCTGGCTCACCGCAGGAGCAGCTCCAGAAAGGCCAAGACCACCCTGGACTTGGCTCCTTCCAAGCCAATGTGCATTCTAGAAAACACAAACCCTCCTTTTTTGTGGGAAAACTGCAAGCACGTAAGGGTCACAATAAATAACACTGCAAATGGTGATGGAGCTGAGATCCTTGCAATGATTGGTAAGTATGAGCACCAGAGGGGATTTCGGGACAGTGTCCTCATTTCAGCTACTCTAACAACAGAGGAGCAGGACCCAAACCATGACCCTCATGAGATAATTCCAAGCCAGGGCTTCCTTCGCTGTCAGCTTTTTCACATGAGTAGTACTTTTACCTTTGAGATGAGGTTTGTGTTGAGAAATGACTCTACCTGTGTCTCCTCTGAGGCTCAGGTAATCTGGGCTCTGAGCACTAAAGCTTTGAGCCTGCATGGTGGGATTTATTTCTACCTCTTAGCCTTTAAAATAAGAGAGTGTGACAGCAGCCAAGCAGAGGACAGAACAGGACAAGATTTTGCCGTTCTTGTCTCACACTTCCTTTGCCTGCACCGCACAGGAAACCCCCAAATACGTAAAAAACTGAACTTCAAAGAGAAAAAACCTCTAATACTGCTTTTCTCCCTTCCAGACAGTGTTAGAGACAAGAGTGCTTGTTGCAATTTCATGACATTGTGTGGACGAAGATGCACATTTGTTTCTCCTCCAAGAAGAGGGGGGACTCAGCTGGATACAGCCCTGAGCAACCTCATTGATTTTTTTAATAGAAAAAACCTGTGCTAGCTTTGAGGTTAACCCTGCTCAGAGCTGGAGGTTGAAGCAGAGCTCTCCCAACCTCAGTCCATCTGGGATTTCAGCAGAGGAAGGGGTAGTGCAGGCTTCTCTCTTTCCACCTGGGATAATCACAAGAGGGGCTATCCCAAGTGATCAGCAATATGGGGCTCTGCCTTCACCTCAATGGAGGTCTTTTCACCCAAACTCTGGCAGAAGCAAGGCATACATGCGTTTTGACATGCTCTAGGTGGTTCTCATCCCAAAAATCTTGGTCTTCAGATAAACAGAGCCAGAGGCAATCTCTCAGGGTGTGAGTGATCACTGTTAGCTTGGGGTTGACTAGCAGTCATACAGCATCTGTGAGAAAGGGCAGCAGCCTCCTTCCCTCGGTTGGATTTGGGGAAATGAAAACTGCATTGTGGCCCTACAGGAATCCTCCTACCATGCACTACTGCAGCAGCAAGACACCCTGCTCTGCTCCGTCTGGAGCCTGAAACCGAGGAGGAATAAAGCACACTTGCGTGGGGGTGAGCTGAGCACCAGGGCTCCAAGCAAGGGGGAGGCAGTAGCCCACCATGGCGGGCAGGGAATGGTACCTACAGGTGCTTCAGCAGGAGCAGACCCTCCAGTGAATGCCTCTTCAGTGCCCGCAAATCCTTGTCCTGGAGAACTTGGAATGAGACAAACAGACATTTACTGTTCCACCAGCTGCTCTCCAGGAGGAAATGGAATTTTCAGGGGAAAATATCCTGCAGTAGCTTTACTAAACCATCTCTGAGTCACTAAGGGATCATCACCACTCATCGCAGGAGCAGGCACTTGCTCCTGGCCTGCCGAAGCTAACTGTGACCTGATCATTGATTAAATAGGCACAGGGATGGCACCGTGGAATGGAAGGGACACAGCTCATGGCACTTCTTGCCATCCCAGCAACCCTGGGGATTCACACCCCTCCTCGCTGAGCTTTGAGTTCAGATGGAAATGGTTTGGGTGGGTGCTTGTGCTTGTCATACCCTTGG